GACGATTCCACGGTCCATCGCCTTCCACTGTAGGGAATTCGAGATGCGATGGCCATGCGCCCGTGGCCCTCGGAAAATGCGATGCTCCTGGGCGCTCCGATGAAGACACATATCGACGCTCATGCCAAGTCGACTGTTCCGAGTCTCGACTGGTTCCACGACCTGATCCATAGTAATGCCATCTAGGTGGCGGTCCTTCCGGCTCTCTCGGGATCAGCTTTGGGGGCGTTGGAATGCGACCAAATGACGGTGACCTTCTCCGCGATAAACTCCTGCTCCTTCCACGCCGGTACTCTCTGCTGTCATCACGCTTCCTCCCGCGGTAGTACTCCCGGCTGTCTGACCGCGTCCTCCGGCGACGATCCCTCGAACGTGATCGCCTCCTCTCACGCTCACGATCCTGCATGTGCTTCACTAGCTTGCTGCGTCAACAACTCAACAGTCTGTAGCAAGGCCTGCGTCGCAGCATCAGGCTGGCTCATTGCCACGGATTCACCTCTTGGTTCTGCCTGCCTGGAGGTCTCGGCCTTGTCACGACGACGGAGTTCAGCATCTTCATTGTATCGACTCTCATCTTCCTCGTGTGTTGGTGCCTCAGACGCCGGTGCTTTTGGTGTTGCTGCAGCGAGGGGTGGATCCGGTGACACTGGCCTCACGGATCCTGGTCCTCTGTGAGACATAGTATGTGTCCCCTTTGGCATGGGAGCTGATGCTTTTGCCGGGCTTGCCTTCACTACTGCAGGGCGAATGAGTGGTGGTTTCTTTGGGCACGGCGGTGGTGGTAACACGCGGGCATCAACGGGGGCTTGAGTCCTCCTCTCACTCTCTCGGGCCTCAGCTTCAGAGTCAAACACGACCTGACCAACATGGCTGTATGTCGGTGCTGCCTTCAGGCCGAACTGCTTCAAGACATAGTCCCTCGACCTCAAGGCTGCTTGCAAAGCATCATGCGACTCATGGGTGCACATGGCACATTTGCCCTTGCATGTGCCGCTCATCTGGCTCCATGAATTTTCCTGGTTGGAGTGTGTCAAGGTCAGGTGAGCTCTCGGGCATAGCTTGCTGAATGCCGTCGCAAGCAACCAACCAAAAGATACAGATCTGTGTCTGTTTCGCCTGCAATAGGCTATGACTGCCAGCTGTTGCCTCTTTTCATGGCATTCCTTCAGACGGTGAAGCCCATATAGCAATGCTTCCATCGTCTTCTCACTGCCAGTCATCCCTCGAATGATCTCAGGATGGGTGCCAACATGGGATCGCAATTGCGGGTCGCGCTGAGGATCTCCAAATCCCATGCAGTCGAATACTAGCAGTCGTCTCCCGGGATCAAACTGTGCCAGAATAGGCCGCAATGTAGTCAGATTCTTGCAACGGTCGAAGTTCGCAATTTGGCCGTGGAACTCTTTTCCACACGTCAAGATACGCACGCAAGCGGGATCATCCAGCGTGAAAGTGGCTCTGGTTGGGCGCTCTTCGTCAGCCATGAATGCTGTCAGTTGATCTGATGGACGAATGTTGAAGCTCATGCCATAATCCGTGTTCTTAAGTTCTCGAAGTTGCTTTGGGAGTCTCTTGGACTTTAGGCTCTTGAGACCTTCTGAGAGGTTCACGCATAGGAGTCCTGAATTCCTAGCTCTGCACAGTTCAAGTTCTGCATTTCCTACATAACACTTGGCATCACCCATTGACTTTGTGAAATGCAATGCAGCTTGAGCATGCTGTGACAAAAGCAAGGGAATCTTCCCATCGACAACATGCGTTTCCATGACTCCCGGAAGTTTCGTCTCGGGGTCCAAAAAGGTCAATGCGAACGGAATTCGACACTTGCCCAAAGTTTTGGTGTCACCGGCGAGTCCTCGAAAAGCTTTTGAGTCACACTGCAAATCAGCTACATCATACCCAAGACGTGCATACTTGTCTTTGGCGTTTTGGATCCACGCTTGTCCACAAACAGTTGCATTACATCCTTCGTCCAACACAGCCCAGACTCCAGGGTCTTCCATGATGTCAACAAGACGAAGTGTGTTTTCAATTGTGGCTTCATTGAGATCCGACAAAAGTCCCATGTAGCAAGTTTCCGGAGCGGCCTCTCTGATGACTTCCACGGCATTGGCAAGGATCTCAAACAGGACGCCAACCCTCACAGGTTCTCCGAATTCTAACTCACACTCAACCTCCTGTCGAAACATCTCCAAGACCTCTAGGGTTCCTTCAGCTGACATGCATGCATCGTTGATTTCATTCTCAATCATGGATGCTGTCGCGTCGAATGCATTGCTACGCATGCCTACCACACTCTTTGCCATCGCCTCTCTCTTGCGCGCCTCTTCTCGGGGCATCTCGTCGACAGTGGTCCCGCGCAACTTGCAGTACCAACGGGATGTGGTCTTCGAACTACCCCGACGATCCGTAACCTCATGTTTACACTTTGCGGGATCGGCGACAGGTTTGCTCTCTTTCTTCTTTCTCTCATTCTTTCCGCAGTCAAGGCATGTCTTGTTCTCAACATATGCATTTGAACCTTGAAATGTAAATCTGGTGCAACGACGACATGGTTCCTCTAGCGGGGGGTATGGTGGTTTCCCTCTGGCACTCTTGTCTCCAGCACGTCGAATTACCTCCACCGGCACGTCTGTCAAGGGATGTTCTCTCAGGTTCACCTCCCTTCCTGACTGACTTCGTAGTACGTGGTCACCCAGGTCAGAAAATCTGCCAAGCAGCGCGAAGGGTGCGAAATGCCTGATCCCCACTGGTAGTATCCAGGGTATTTGAACAACACCTCATGGTATGTCAAACCTTGGTGCTGACCAAACACGAAAACATTCTGTGAACCTTCAGGCAGCAAGTCTTGCTCCATGTCCTTCTTCCTACCCATGACCGGCGGGGACTTCTGCGGTGACCGACGGACATTTGGCTCGACCATCGAAAAGCTAGACGGTGGACTGCTAGTCACGCCTGACGACATGGATGCACGATCTGACGGTTCAAACTCCAGCTTCTTCTTTGGGGACATCTTGTATGCCATATAGCACGTGCCACCTTCGGCAGTTTGGCCACTGACATCGACACACATGTATTCATCTTCAACAGAAGACTCATCATCACTCAATGCGAAGTAGGCTGTGGCTTTGCTCGTTGACGACGTTCCTCCGGGGGACTTGTCGTTCTGCTTGGGGAACTTGCAAGCAGGGTCTCCTGCCCAATGTCCTTTTCCTCCACAACGCAAGCATTTGGACACTGACTTCAACTTTGCTAGACGTGCAATCCTGTCTTGCACGCTCAACTGTGTCCTGAACACATACTTGCCTTTTCCTTTGCTCTTTCCACCTTTCTTTCCTGAACCTTTGCCTTTGCCTTTGCTCTTGCCTTTCAACTGGTCAGTCACGACAAAGGCCATCATCTGGTGCTGGGCTGCGCTGCCCAGTTCTTCTGAGACATCGTTTTCTTCATCATCGCATTCTCCCGTTGCCATCAACGCTGTGGCAACTTCAGGGTCCTCGACATAGTCTTCATGTTCTTCGTCTTCTGGTTCTTCATCTTCTGCTGCGACATAAGCTTCATGCTCATAGTCGTCCTCTGCTTCTGGCTCATAGGACTCTTCATAATCCCATGAGTCATCTTCAACAATGTACGCAGATCTTTGCCAACTGCGTCCTTTTCCTCCTTTGTAGGAAGACTTGCTTGAGAACTTGCCTCCGCCTTTCTGCCTCCGAGGGCTTGCATTGCCAAAAGCGGACCAGCTGCGTAAGTGAATTTGTCCATGGAATTCAAGCAAGAACTTGGCGTAAACGTCAAAGGATTGGTTGTCGCCTGCAGCTGTCTTGATCATGAGCTGTTCTGTCTTGCTCAAGCCAGAGCCTTCCAGAAGTAGCTCACCACGCATGGGGTCTGAAAGACTTACCCCATCATCCATCTCCAAAAGCTTCCTCCACCAACGACGTCTTCGTGAAATATAGCTAGTCATGCTTTCTGTCGATTGGCGAGACAAGGGACCATGTGGGAGTTGACCCACTCTGAACAACTCTCGTGCTTCTTGCTGTCGAAGTGGAAAAACCTGTGCACGAATACGCGAAATCAAATCATCGATGCCAGTTGGAGTCAACAACTTCTCCAATCCCATCTCTTGTGCTGCAAGGTATGCATCACCTCGCAGGCCTTCCAACACCTTGTGAACAAGTGTCGCATACTCTGCTCCATCATCATCCAGTCCGGCAGTGCTCAGAGCTGGTTCTTCTTCGTCCACCACGCTCTCGGACTTCGGGGTTCCAAAAGCTTCAAATCGTACTTCTTCATCCTCTGATACATCCCCAGCCTCGGTCGCATGAGTCGGCCTCCTCTGAGAACGTTCTGGTGTGGCTGATTGGCTTCCATGACTCGAATAGGTCTTCTCTGACTTCTTCTTCGCATGTTTTTGCTTGTACAAAGCAACGCGGACCTTGGTGCGAAACTCCCATTCGAAGAAACCATTTGGATTGCCACTGTAGATGTATGATCCGCTCTTCGTCTCCTGTGGTCCTGAGATACTTCCTCCATGGGATGTGTACCGCAGGCCAGCCAGCGACATCGCAACTCAACAAGTTTCGCAAAGCACTGGAATTACAACGGTTCGACGGATTGCGCGCAGGGTCACGCAATTGGGTTCAACGGTTGGATCCAGCGAGTCTCCCCGGGTGAGTCAGATCCTGAGGGTGCCCCTTCAGAACCTGCTCCGCTACCAGTTTGAATCTCGCACGGTTCCTTTTCACAGCAGCGAATCAGCTCAAGGGCCCTTATTTAGCCGAGACAGCAGCGGCGGTGCATCAACTGTACGCAATACACCCTGGCTACAATCGGTAAAATTCACACTAGTAGTAACAAGAAGCTATTAGAATTAAATTAAGATTAAACTAAATAAACGTGTATATATATATATATCGGTAAGATGTACATACTCTAACCCTGTCTCACTCTCTCAACAGTTCGGAGTTTCCCAAAGACACAGAAGGCTTTCCAGAGGGAGCCTCCATGTCCGCACAATCCCGTTCAGCCTCGGCCGCCACCGAGTGCACCAGGTTTGCACGTTCTCTGTCAGCGCATTGGAGGCAGCTTTTAAATTAACATATCCCATCCAAGATGTATCCTTGGCAATAAATGCTTTTATATGTATATAGTATAATACAATACATAGTATCACATAATATGTTTTTATCAGAGGCGTGACTGAGGCCAGTGCAATGTCCCTATCCCGTTCTGCACGAGCAACTTTCCGCTCAAGAAGCACACGCTTCTCCTACCATGCATAGTTTCAGTAACTGCAACAAGCCAAGATTGAGGTCCTCCAAGCTGTCAGCCTTTTCCTGCAGGGCAGGACAAACAGACTCATTAAAAAACTATTCACATTCACATTCCAAATATCCAGCATGAATTGACCGGAAGCAAAGGCAGGCTCTCCTGAAGGTCGGCAACAAGCGGCTCGCTCTCGCGAAGTTGAGCTTGAAGTGATTCTACAATCTCACGAACCTTGTTTCGATCAGAGCTTGAAGTTGAGCCCAAATGTTCAATTGATCCCACTTGAAAGTTAGCTTAGCCATGATGAGCCTGTCCAAAGACCAAATGCTTGGCTTCCTCAAGCGCATAATCAGAAGCACCTTAGCAAACAAGCTGCCACACCCAGCACCCAAGAGCAAGCAACAGGTGCCTTGGAGCTTTTCAAGCTGGTTAAGCTTCTCTGGTCCTTAGGCACAAGATGCCTGGAAAATGCAAGCGCAAAAAGCATGATTAAAGTTCAAGCTGGGCCACCAAGAATTCGAGCAAGGGAGAGGTGGAGCCCAGCATCTGAACCTCTAGAGCGCAAGAATGGATATGTTCAAAAGAGAGACAACATGTAATATGAGGAATCAGGAACAAATAGATCGGTCTACATTGCTACTGAACTGTAAGAAGTCAGAAGAATCAAGTCTTCAGAAATCCACAAAAATGTACGTAACTTCGATTAAAACTACGATCGCCGCTCATTTTAGGGAGAGCTGCACAACTTCAGTGTGTGATACAAGTCTGCTCTCGTACCCTTTGTTCCGACCTGGATTTTGTGCTTGCAAACTTTGCATCCAGCAAACTGCGGGCCCTCAGAGACGCTCAGACACACACTCAACAGCAGGCTAGATTTCTGGTTCCTGGGCACAAATGTTATTCTATGTATGGTCACATAAACTGTGTCCCATGACATACGGCAAAGTAGCTTTCAACTCTTGAGGTCCTGTGAAATTTTCGGCTGACAACATTAGTAAGCATGCGACGAAGCCCCCATGCTCAACGCCGCAACTTCATATTTAAAAAAATATATATATATATTATATATATATATTGATAGTTCCAGGCTGAGTAGTACTGTAATTATTGAATCTGGAAAGATGGCCAATGAATGGCTGGATTCATTTGGTGTCATCAAAAAGAGAATGCCACGTCGTTCAACTGGCTTGGGCCAAGTTGGGCTACAGGTCTCGCATAATTAAAATTAAACATTGAAGAAACAACCAAATCACACTGTCCATCAAACAGCTTGCAGGCCTGAGTCTTACCTTTGCTATTGAACTCCGCTTGAAAGGGAAACAACTGCAAACTGTTCAAATGCTGTTCGGGGCAGCTGAGTCAGGACATTCTGGTGTGGATTCTAAGCGAAGAACACAAGGCGATAAAAAATAGAATGCACCTCTTTCTCGCTCTCTCACACGCACAAAAAAAATAATGCCAAAAGTGACAGAAATGCACAAAGCCTGGCAGACATGGCTTGGGGTGGCAGGGACAGAGTAGGTGTGAACGGCGCAAAAGCCCAGGACCAGCATCGACAAAGAGCAACCGAGCGAACGAGCAAGCAAGCAAACTCCTAGCAAGCTATGCTATGCATAGCATGCTACAAGCCTTCTGCTATGCTACAAAGGTTTTGTCTCACGCGTTCGTGCTATGAAATTTTCCAGAGCCCGGGATAGTGAGGGCTCCCTGCTGTGCTCTACCCGCCGACACATGTCCACAAAATGGAACAAGCTTCCAGTGTCTGCAAGATGCTGCTTGTATTCAAACAGCGTGCCCATGATTAATAAAGGCAAGCAAACCTGCAGCAACCAAGAAAAAAAACCATCAGCCCCCATTCAGAGAAGAAGCAGTTTGAAGGCATAACAGCTAGCACATTCAGCCGGAGCGCCGTCACGACAGCGAAATCAGAAATGCGAGCAAAGTTTGACGGGCCAATTGAAAGGCCACGTAGCAACACAAATCACTTTCAGAAGGCTCCTGCCGAGGCGACGAAAGTGAACTGACAAACCATTACAGACATCAAGAGAGACAGGTGGAATTGGAGTGGAATGCAGTTTTTACCATATGCTTTGGGAGGCAAAGAAGAGGCCAGTAGACTAAGACAATCTCGCAACCAGATCTGGAGGGCAAGAATAAGAAAACAATAACTAGGGCAATCTCGGAACCTGACATATGGAGGTATTGGTAGTATTGCCTTGTCATTTGGGTCATTTGGTAGTGCATGATGCTAGTCATAGTGGCATCAGAACTTCAGAAGCTGATGTTGAAGCAACGTTGAACCTTGTCAGGCTTGTGATTCGTGTTGGTGTTGAGAATGGTTTGGAGGGCCTGCGCTGGGTGACTTTAAATCCGTTGCACTTGGTCACTTGGCAGTCTCAACCGTTCGAGGTTCTGGAGCTCACGCTGAAGACGAGTCGATGTGCAACATAATCTACAGCAGCTGTAATACGTACAAAAAATAGACACACGTGCCACAGTACCCCCACAGTGCGAGAAGCATTGCAGCTCGAAGCAGCAGGAATAGCAGAATAGCATTTAGAAAGGTCAAACCAGTATCTTGTGATCACATCTCAATGATCTCAACTGTTGTGAACCCCAAAGAGCGAGAACAAGCCTACGTGGGCGCCAGTGAGACACAAATGCCCAACTGGGGCACACAAAGAAGCTGGCGAAGCGCCAGCGGTCATTTTGACATAGTATTAGAGGAAAAATAGCTGCAAAAACCTGCTGCACAGGCGAGGCAACAAGGGGAACAAAGCGAGACAAATGCAAAACAGGGGAAAACATGTGTCCTATGCATTTACTGTATGCACTGTATGTGACACGTAGTTTGGAGAGGGTGCAAAACATTGAAAAAAAAAAAGCAAACAAGACGTGAATCGCAACGCAAACACACGACAATAACTGAGGGATATCCACATCAGAAAGAAACTCCAGGTCCAAAGTTCAAAGGTCTCTTTTTGCGGGCAAACTCAAACAGGCGCATCCATGGCAGCATATAACCTTAGAACTTCGACCTCAGCTTGCAGGACATTTGATTGTTTCGGGGCTTGTCTGGCTGGGCTCCATGCACACGTGAGGAACCGTTCCATCTCTTTGGGGTCCTGCCAAAAACCAAAAATTCTCTACCAAAACTGCATTGCCTGACATTGATTCGCTGGAGTATTCAGAGACCACTTGTTCTGGAGTTCTGCCAACAACTCTTCTGCATCGTTCTCTTTACCAAGGACCCACAACCTACCCCTAACTTTCTCAGTTTGGGAAGCCACCCAAAAGAAGAACAAGATGGAGCCCACGGACCCGAATGTTTGAGGCAAGCTCGTTCCTTATGGCCTAATCGGCACGTCTGTTTAGTACACGATTGGTTTCAGTAGTTTACTCTCGCAGAAGCTGCAACAGTCAGCTGAAAAGAAAAAGTTCAGACACTCGAACCAAGAAACTAACTGGTCATTTTGAGGACTGAGCCCTGTCAGGGTCGTGAGTAAACCAACATTCGCAGGCCCAAAAAAAAGACACGACGGTAGCTTTGACACTCAGATGCACAAGTGATACATCACTCCCCACTTAGCGGCCACGACAGCTTTGAGGCTTGTTTCAGCTACTGGGTAGCATGCCTGCATAGCCAAGCATTTGATTCCATCCAGGTGACACTCTTCTGGGACAATCTTGCAAAATACGCTTGTGCGACACTTTTGTTTGACACTCTTGCAAGACACTTTTCTAGAAGGACACTCTTGTGCCAAATACGTGTGGCACTAGTGTGCGGACAACTCTTGTGGGGTTCACTCTCGTCTTGCAGGACATTTTGTGGGATTCTGGTGGGGCACTCTGTTTGTGCAACACCCGGGGGGACACTTTGCGGGGCACGCTTGTAGGTCAATTTTGTGGGCCATTCTTGTGAGACACTCTTGTAGGACACTATTGATTGTCCGGGACACTCTTATAGGACATTCTTGTGGCCACTCTTGTCGAACGCACTCTCTGACAAAAGTGACCTGTTAACTCTTCAAAACGAGCATTTCGAAGGAGAATTTCTCCAAAAGTCACGTGTCAAGTCTTCAAAGCAAGTTCAAAATGAGTCTTCCTACGAGACTTCCTCCAAAACTGACTTGACGAGAAGCCTGCCTCTGACCCAGCTCCCTCGTCACAAAAACGTAGCTTCAAGGAAAGTGCTTCAAGAGCAAGTCCCAATGGCAGAGCGGTACAAAGTGCTGCCCTTGCGAAGCATTGCACCTGCGCAGCAAAATCATCCTTCGCACTTGGGCATAGGTGGCATAGGTATCTGACACTTCATGCATACTTCCATCCAAGATCTCCAAAAGCCTGGGCCCTATCGGTTGCAGACGGTCCGGGCGGTTTGACATGAAAGCAACGTCACGCGAACACCGCTCTACCAGAGTTCAGAGTTAAACGAGAAAGAAAAAAACAGAAAGAGTTGACAAACATCTACGTGTTTTATCTTCTTTTTGGGGGGGTAGGCCGAGGTAGCTACTAGCTGCAAATGGACGCTACTACCGACAGCACGCAGGAGAGCTCGCACTAATGATTTGGTTCCTAGATTTTTAGGGAAACTTAACTAGTAGCGATGGCCTCCAACCTAATAGCGATGACATTCGTATGTATAGTTTTTCAACATCACTCCACAAGTTGTCACTCCAAACAAGCGATACACATATATATATATATAGTTGTGCTGGCAGTTCATTTACACGCGCAG